TTTAGGAGTTTCATTCTGTTATGAGAGTACATTTCTTTTTTTTCCACAGACTTATTTACTGAGGGACACTAACAGAATGGTAGACAGAAGAAATAGACCATGATAGAGCCACATCAATTCTCTTCTAAGCCAGTAGTGTAAAAGTGGTGTTATAGCTGTGATGGTCCAGAAATTACAGGAGAGGGAAGGATTTCTTAGGAAGATATCTTTTATTGAACCAACTATGTAGTTTGGATAAAGTTAGAAAAGCTTTTGAATGCAAGATATTCTTGGTCAGGTCTCTGTTCACAGGGAGCCAGACACAACACAGTGAAAAACAGTAGAGGGAACAGGCTGAGAGAAATTCTGAGGGGTAACAGACACACATTTAGCAGAAGGAAAGAAGCTGATTACTGGGAGGTCAAGGTCTATCAAGAGGGAGGAGGGTCAGTCTCATCTTTCTTGTGTTGGAAGAATTCATGAATTTGATAAAATATAACATTCCATAAATTCAGTATCAGTGTTTAGTTGTTGTCCAGCCAGCTTAAGTTTGCCTTTTAAAAGTGTTAGGTAGATTTGCCTTGAGCACAAAGATAGTGAGGTCAGAGGAGGAGTCACTGTTCTGTGAGAAATGTGCTCCTAATGGTGTGTATGTCTCTGTCCCTTATATTTTTTCTGTGAGAGTTCATTCTGGTGCACAGGTGCTGTTTAGTTTCACCCATTCATTTGCCACGATTGCAATTGGTGCATTGGATTAGGTATATCACAATTTGGGAAAGGCATGCAGAAACCATGGGTTCTGATGTTACCACCACGTGAATTCTGATACTAACACATCTGCTTGGAGGAGAACAGTCATGATGCACACCTGCCTGGCCTAAAATCTGCCTTTATACAAGAACGATACCCCAGTAGAGAATCAGACTATACATTTGAAAGACATATCCAATACCCTGCAGTAACCTGCTACAATACAAAAAGAAACCCCTCCATGGCAGCACACATCTGGTGGTCACCTGCCACTCCACACCAGAACTGATCAGAAGAATCACCAAATGACTACAGTCTATACTTGACAAAAATCAGACTATGAGAGAAATATCTCTAGTCCCTCTGCTTCTGGCTTTCAAACAGCACCCTAACCTTGTAGCTCATTATCAGAAGCAGCTCTCTACTATTCAACAGACTGCAAATGGAACACAGCTTTGTCTTGGCAAGAAATGCTTAGCCTGTCAGCATATTTCCGCTGCTGCTCCCCTTATAAAAAAAACCTATCAGAATCCATGAATTCCTGTGATCAGAGACCTTATAAAGAATGTCCTGCATTCAAAACCTTGTTTAACTTTATCCCAAATACATAGTTGGTCCAATTAAAGATAACACTCTAAGAAATCCCTGCCTTCTAATTCAGAACACAGAAGCCCAGCAGTTTCCTGAACTTGACAACTCCAGTAGTACAATGTGAGACATTGAAATACTGTATCAGCAGCCATACCAGCTGAACACCAGCTGTGGGGGTCATGTGTCTTCTCTCCCTGCTGTAGTTGTGAGTAGTCTGTATTGCAGGGGTGCTGAACCTCTGGCCTACAGGCCAGATTTGGCCCACATAGCATTTGTATCTGGCCTACAGGTCTCCTCAAAAGTCGGGAAATTTAGCAGTGGGGCAGCAGTGGTAGTTAATACTGCCACCCCTCCCCGATGCCTCAATCCCAAGCCCTCATGGTGGGTTGCAGGTGGGCCATATCCCCCCTTCCCTCTGCACAGCTGGACTGAGGACAAGCCACACCCCTCCCCTTGTGCAGCTAGTTCAGGACCAACCCATTCCTTCTTCTCCCCATTCATGGGTCCAGGACATGCCCCTTTACCCCACAGGGCTGGGCCATGCCCCCTTGCTTCCCACCCAACCAGGTTGGGGCTAGGCCACATCCCCATCCTTCCATGGGGCAGGGCATGACCCCTTCACCTGCAGGGCTAGTTTGGGACTGGGCCACACTTCCTCTCCCCCCTGCCCACCCCATTGGGTTGGCCCTTGCCCCTTTTCCTCCTGCCCAGCCAGGTTAGGGCCAAGCTCCAACCCCGCGCTGCAAGTTTGGGTTGGAGCTAGGCTAAGACCCTTTTCCCCACATAGCTGAGTTGGGGATGGGCTTCCTCCTCCCTTATCCTGGTGGCTGGATGGGACCCTGCTGTGCCTACCCTGGGCACCAGATTAGGTGTGCCTGCCAGAACTGGCCCATGAAGGAACTGGACACTGCCCATCCAGACTGCTGGATGAAAAGGTGGAGTGCCACTGCTGCATTGCATCTTATTATGCTGGGTTTTTTTTTTTTATTGTTTCCTCCTCCAGTTCATTTAGAGCAAAAGTTAAGCAGTATAATTGCATTGAAAGGTGCTTATTATAATTGAATATTTTGCTGAGGAAAACAAGTTCTAAGAAAGGAACACAAAATAAGGCTTTCATCAATTTTGTGTCATATTTGAGTATTTGCTTCAAATTGTAAGTACATGAGTACTGGCAGACAGCTAGGTGGTATAACTGGTTATTTGTCCCAATAATGCACTTCTGAAATCTCTAGCCTATTCATATACTAGGGCCTTGTTACACGTTAAACTGTGAGCCACACAAATGTTGATGGGTGCTAGTGCTAACTTGAGTTTGGAGCAGTCACACTTCAGGCCAGCATGGACCTGTAGGGATTGAAGGGTAAAAATACCCTTTCTCCCTGCCTCCAGGGCTCCATTGGTTCCTGCCCCCCATCCGTCAAGGTTCCCTGCTGCCCCTGACTACTTGTAGCTGTCCACCTGTCTGTCCCAGGGGAGCAGACAGGGAGGGGTTAACGTTCCTGCCCAGTCACTACTTCTAGACTGCAGCTCTTCTCCTGGCTAAGCCCACCAGAGAGCAGTGGCAGCTAGGCAGGTTAAGCTTTCCCTGCCTGCTCCCCCAGGACAAAGTGTGGGCATCCACAAGTAAGCAGAGTGGCAGTGATTGGGGATCTGGGGTGCTGGGGAGGCTGGGGGCAGTGGGCCTGATCCAGGCCAGCAGGGTAGATTGGTGGGTGTTTATGGTGTTCCTCAGAGCAGTCCTTTTTTGTACCAGGACCAATTTGTAAACATTGGCCATTTCTGACCCAGTAAGCCTCACTCCTGACCCGCTGCCTAGAACCCAGCCCCCCAGTGTTGAACTCTGAAAGCCTGCAAGGGAAAAACAATGGTTTACCACTTTTTCCTTTTAGAGGAGAATCCATTTTTAAAGTTTGATTCATTTTTAGTTTGATTAATTTTGTTTTGTTTCATAAAATTGTGTGACCCACTTTTGTGGTGCATCCCACCAGTTGAGAAATACTGGCCTAGAGTGGCTACACCTTAATGTAACATGAGCTGGGTAATATGGATCAGACATAACCCTGCCCTGGAGTGCTGTCCTTCTGAGCTGCCTAATGAGCACTTAAAACTAGTTTCAAGTGTTAATGTGCAGACAGTCCAGGTGTTAAGAGCTCTGTGAACTGCCCAAAATTATGATGTAACAGGGCTCCTATTTTGGTCACTTAATTTTAAGGGCTAAGTACAGACAGTCAAAAAGCCCAATGTTGAATTGATTCAGTGTTTGCAGGTTAGTTTAAGCTGCAAAGATTAAATTGAAAAACAACTAGACACGCATTTACCTCTGATTCAAGAAATGTAGCCACATGTCTCCAGTGGCTCAGGCTAGAAGTTAGGGGGCGTGAACTGTGTTCACTTCCTCTTCTTGCTGTCCCCTAGATCTCTGGGATTTGCAGTCCAGCATCATAGCAGCAGGACTCTGCAAGTTTGCTCATTGCTGCTTCTCCCTGCTTCCAGGTGCCTCTGGAATTTGTAGTTCATAGTTGCAGTCAGCAGTAATTTTCAGTAAGTTTAGCAGCAGGGCAGCTCTGTATTCAAGGGAAGGAGTGTTTAACCCCCCTCCATGGCCCAATACTCCAGCCAGTTTGCCACGGGGTGGAGGGGAGGGGCAGTCCCTGCCTCTCTCTCCCTCCTGCTACCCGCAACCCAACCCTTCTCTGCTAAGGCAGGCAGCACAGCTCAGCCCAGGGCTGGAAGCCATGCTGGGGGACTGTGATTTTACTTGAACCAGGAATGGGTCTGGGACAGAAGTTTCATAAACCAGTTTGACCCAAATCAGTTAAGTGTGATAGTATATTCAGCCACATTTAGCCATTTTGAAACTGGTTTATGTGCACGGAACTTTTGTTTTGTTACACGTTTAAACCAGTTTGTGATTACTTAAATGGGTTTATATGTAATTTCTGTCCCTAGCCAAGGAGTTTGGTGACATGTGCCCAAATTACAAAGCATTTTGCTTTTTAAAAAAGGCCTAGGCATGTTGCTGTTTAGGTACTGACAGGCATGTGTGGAGACAATTTTGAAGTTCTTAGTGACTTACACTTGTTTTCATGTGCATCAAATTGAATTACAGACATTACTTTTGCACACATAATCTCACAAAAAGGATGGCCTCTCCATCTTAATGTCTACATGTAACTAGTAACAGTTATCATTGCTACTTTTAATATTATGATGCACAAATATATGTGTGGAAGGATTGCTTTGTTTCTTTTATAAATATCTGCTATACTTCCTTTTTCCATTTTCAGTCAGATCAAGAACTACCCAATAATACTTTTTAATTGATATTTCTCTGTTGTTTTGTGTGAGTAGAACTATGAAATTTTATGGCCATCTGTTCCTGCACTGAAATAAGAGATGTCTGACAGGAACTTCAATAAAAGGCTTAAAAGAATCAGATGCTAACGAAATGGACTTGTATGGAGGGAGCTATGCACAATTCTATATAATGCCTTTGGATGCATTAATTTGTTTGTACTGCAACTTAGAATATGTTATTAAAAATATCACACATGACAGAAGAGAATTGAGTTTCATTACTGAGATGTAATTATCTCACACTGTGTGAAACTGCCTTTTCTTGTCAGAAGCAAAGTAGAAGCGTTAAGTCTATTATAACATCTCTTTTGATGGTTTTATAGGATATAATGAAAGATGAATGCTCAGTGCTGAAGCTGCAGTTGAAGGAGAGGGATGAACTCATTTCCCAGCTACGCGAGGAGCTGGTAAGCAGGACGTATACTTTTGTTTGGGAAGTCCTCTCTATATGACAAGGTCACTCACTGAGACCACAAAGCAAGTATATACAGTTTCACAGTTTTCTGCTCTAGGATATATATCTTAAGGCTATATCACTGAGTCTCATTAATGCAGATTTAATAACTCTACATTTCTGGGGACTTTCTAGCCACTGAAATGGCTTCTTTCCAGATACACACTGGTAGTGCTTGTTTATTTTGAAAGATAGTGTTGACGGTTGTCTTGCAGTATCAAAGAGGCATTAATCAGTTGTAAATGAACAACACAGCACTATGTTCTGCTTGACATATGCCAAAAATCTTGAAGGGCAGTATACATGTTCTGGTGAGTTGTAAATGGCTCTTCCTTATGCTATTTTGCATAGCTACAAAGCCATCCAGCATACAACTAAATATTCTTTCCTACTGTAATTGATGTTTCCTTCATTTGAAAAATATCTTCCATATTTTCTTGATACAACTTTTCAATATCATATTGGGTTGCAAGGCTTTGTTATAATGCTTTTGGGATCACCAAATCTGTCACAAGGAGCAAAGCCATATAAAAACTTTTGGTTGAACACCATTAAATAATGTCTTCAATTATTTTTTAGAATCCTTTAAAAATTCTCCTGTTGATGTTCCTCGGGGTGTTTTAGCAACAGAATAATTGACTAAGGAAAATGTTTAACTACATACTTAAGTCATCCTTAATTAGGAAAGTTTAAACATATGTTTAAATGTTATTGACTTCATTGTGAGTTAAATGTATGGTTAAAGTTAAGCTGGCAATTTGTCATTGACAGAGAGAGAGACAGATACTACAGTGTACAGTCTGTCCTTCCCACTCCCAGTATGGTAGTAACTGGCCTGTCTGGAAGTTAAAAAGCTTGCAATCAAAGATTAGGTTTAGGTAAGGGGAAGTGTTTATATGCATCTTCACTGTTTTAACCCATTTTTCTCTGTTCTGTGTGCTTTCAATTGAATTAATCATACTTTATCTGGAAGAAACTCACTTGAGTAACTTTAGTTAGTTCGTATTCATGCATATCTGGAGGAAAAGGTTGTATGTGTTCCAAATACAGTTGGTCCTGTTATGTTAACACAGTTAGGAAACTGTGCCACCCTTTCTCCAGTCCTAGAGTGATTGAACCATGAGGGTTCACACTTCAGGGCGGTGCAGAAAGTGAAACTGATCACCTGATGAGTGCACTCAACAGAGATTTACAAGAATGTGTCTAAAGTATAGCTGCCATGTAACCAGAGCAAAGGTATTATAGGATCATAGGAAAGTAGGGAGGAGAGTAGGGTTGGAAGAGACCTCACAAGGACATCTAGTTCAGCCCCTTCCTCAAGATAAGATCATTCCCGGCTAAAACATCCCAGGCTACATGTTACATTATATTGCATTTTATATAGAGAGAGAGGTATGCTCCCCAAAATTAATAGAAGATAATCAATGAAAAATAAATAAAACCTAAATTGTGTGGAAAGTGAAGTGCTTTTCTATGACAAAAGGCCTCTTTCCTATATCAGCATCTGCAAAATAAATACAGGGAACTAATATTCTTTCATTTTTTCAGATTTGGATACATTATGAATGATCTATTATGTAATTATCATCTAAAATTAAATGACAAAATGGGATACAGAGAACATCAAACTGCTGTGCATTCCTGGAGCATTAATACAATATCAGTCTAATTCAGAAGATACATTATCAACTAGTTGACAACTTTGTCTTTGTAAAATTATGCTTTATTGATACAGTGAGCTGTAGCTCATTTGAAGTTAACTATTGGTAGAGTGAATCTAATATATGTCCATTTTAGAAAAATGCCAGTAGGGAATTTAGTGTTTGAGCTTTTTAATAGATAGAAAAGGATATGTCCATAGGGTAATGACAATAAGTATTTCCATAAGAGATAAAAGAAGATTCATGCACTAAGATTGACTTTGTTACAGTGAGTTGTACAATTTCAAAAACAGAGTTGAAATTAGTCTCAAAAGTCAGTATTTAGCTACTTCAGATAAATGACCTGAGTACCCACTAACTCTCATTGACTTTAGCTAGTACAAAACATAGTGACTTTGAGGATATAAGCATTCACATCAACTGAAAATCTCACCAAATGCAATGGAAGTTACTGGTTGCTCAGAAAAGTTGAAAAGTTGGCCATTATTCTAAAATGCCTAAAATATAGTGTTAAGAACCTAATTTTCAGCCATTTGGATTTCAGAAACAAAATCTTGGCACAAATTTGGCTTTTTCTGAGGCATGTAGCATAGCAAGATTTCAGACCAGAACTTATTGAAAGGATGAAATAAAATCCCATGAAAAATATGTGCTAAAACACTTAACATTTCCTTTTAAAATGTAGCCAAAGGTGGGAAAGGATGGGGACAAGGGAGTTATGTTTGTGACTCCTGTTCCAAGGATTATTGCTGTTTTTCTCACACAACTGATTTTTTGCAAAAGAAAGAATCAGTCCTAGGAGTAAGGACTAGAACGCAAGATTCCTACCTCCTAAGTCAATACCCTAAGACATTCCTTTCCTCGAACTAATGCAACTTGAACATGGACGGTCAAGAGTGGCCCCACTAGTCCGGCTTACTAGCTGCTACTTAGGTCACTGTCATTGGAGGCACAGGTTTGAAACTTCTCAGGCTGAAAGGGACATTGAACTGGTATGTTGTGCCCCCTAGTGGAGTATACTTATAGAAAAGGTGGGTATCACTGCCACCACCATTTTAATCATAATGCAGCTGCAACTGTTTGGTTTTTTTACTTCCCTATCTCCTGTCTCTGTGTGTTAGGTCTTCACTGCTCTGGGGCCTTGCTAGCTGGTGCCACCCTTATCTCATGTTATGGAACAGTGTGGTACATGCCCTCTCTGTCTCAGGCTGTGTGTATATCAGTTGGCCTTGTTGTGTTAGTCAGCCTGTCTGCTTCCAGGGCTGTGTGAAACTGTGTGTGTGAAACCCAAGCTCTTTAGAAATCAGTTAACTCCTGCTGCCCACCCTGAACCATTCTAATACCTATAAGCCAATTCCCAAAAAGCAAACCTTTAAATAGCATTTCTAAGCCAACACTGGAGTGGTAGTCACCACTCCTCCTGGCTGTGCTGATATAGCCACTTCTTTCCATTACCCAGCTGCAAAATGCTGATAAAGCCCCCTGGCTCCTTGAGCCAAATAAAATAGTTCCACAGTCCACAGACCCTGGGCCGTGGAACATATGTTGCTAACTTCTGCCTTAATCAGAAGACCTCCTTCCCACCTACAGCGAAAAGTCTAATTACCTGTTGAATTTTAAAGTTGCACAATCATTTGTTGCAGTCTTTTGCATGCTTAACTGGACCTTTTATAATTCATCACTCATTAGTTGCTGTGATAGAATGACACTATTATAAGTTCTGCAATATAATGTAAAATTAGAGTACCAAATTCAGTTTTTGTCTCCTTCTTAAAATTTTTTGAAAAGTTTAGCTAATATTATTCATCATTTATATAAATGTCAAGCAAATAATATGATGTAAATGTATATCCCTTGTCCTCCCAGAAGGCTCAAGTACAGTTGCCATTTTATGTGTTCAAAAATGGTCAATGGCATTAGGAGAGCAATTCTTTACAAATTAAATTACTATAGCTATTCATAATCACTTCTGGCTAATAACAATGTGTGCCTTTTTAATTTAAAGAGGCAGCAGGAAAGCCAAGACTTGAGGAAATATTTCTCATCATTTTTTATTTTTCAGAACAGTTCATGTTCAGAAAAAATAGTTATTGAATAGCTGTAAAAGGAAAACTTTGGAAAACTGGAAGTTGCATCTTGTTATAAAATTCAGATGTGGCATTTTAACATTTCCATAGCAAATTTCAGAAATGAGGATAGTCTTGTAATTTTGACAGCTATGCATATGAAAATTCTTACCTGCCTGCAGCCATAGGAACCAGCCATAAATTCCTGTTCTATGGAGTGAAAATAATAGCCTTCACAATTTTGAGTGCTTAGTTATTAGCCTAAAAGTTGGAAAATGTGAAAAGTAAAAGACTAACTTAGTGATATGTTTTCTGTGTTTCAATAAAAAAATATTGATTGACACCCTTGGATACCAGAGTGCTTTCTCTTTTAAGAGAAATAAGACATAGGCAGATATAGCATAGGGGAAGATTTTTTACATGCTGGCCCAGATGACATTTCCAGGAATGAGAACATAGTTCAACCTCCCTGCTTGTTAACTCTCTGACTTTTCCTGCTGAGAGTGTCCATAATGGTGCCAGTGGTATAGATATCTTTTTTTAGAAACAGGCATCTCACTAGACATTCACAAACACCCATTCTGTATAGACGATACGAAATGGACATTTAACATGGTCTTCTTTTTAGCACTGGCTGTTTTATAATGAATATCTTCCAAGTGAAAAGTATTAATTTGTAGGTTACAAAATTGCAGTTTATGAGACCTATTTAAAAGTTGGTATTTTAAATCTGAATAAACTAATCATTTATTTTTTCCCTTTTGGCTTTTATGGAACTATTTTATTCAGCCCCCAGAGGCAGGGGGCTCTGGCAGCTGGGGAGCTTTGTTGCCAACACAGCAGCTGGGCAGCAGGAAGAAGTGGCCATATAAGCACAGCCACAGGATGTGGTGACTGCACTTCTAGTGCCCACCAGGTTTGAAGCAGCCCACACTCAGAGCTAAGCTCTGGTAAAGTGGTCACCTGATGCAAAAGGCTCTAAGTTTAAACACTTTTTGTTTTCCTATTAGACAATGTGAGTATGATCTTTTTTGTTACAATATACTGAAAAGTGAGGCCCTAAGTTCTAGCAGTTTAACCAATAAGCATCAAACTGATGACCTGACTGTCAAGCTAAGAGCACCAGTTTCACATTTCAGTTCCATACATTTTTATAGTCAAAATTTGAATGACTGTGTAGTCTGACCTCCTATATAACCTAAACCAGGGATTGGAAACCTTTTAGA